AGGCTCCTCTAGGGTTTCTGCAGTTCCTGGTTCAGTTCTCACTCTCCGCTTTAGGGTTTTAATCTCTCTGCTTTACCATTTTTGGGTCGAAGGTTGTGAAGATCTGCGTGATTAGAGAAAATGTATAGCGGATCTAGCGATGGTGAGAGCCACGACACATCGACGCAGAGGAAGATCCCACCGGCGTCTTCGATGCTCTGGGTCAGAAATTTACGACGGTATATTGGTTCCGGCGCCGGATTAGGATCCGAAGCTCTAATGGGTAAGTCCTTTTTCCCGGGTTGCTGCGTTTTTGGTTGTTTGGACAGTCTCTGTAGTTTCAGATGATGTCAAAAATTGAATCTTTCCTTTACATTTTCTCCCAGGAAATTTGAATTTTCAATTGCATTTTCGAGTTCGTTGTGTATCTGTATGAGTAAAGCTTCTTAATTTGGAGCCGTCGGAGAAAATGTAGCTCTTTCTATGTGTTGGAACACTATGTTAACCGTGATAAAGTCTTGGTTTTTGCTGTGTTTGGTAAAGGGTTTGTTTCGATTGTTTTTGCAGAGCTTGAGACGAAAAGAATCTTGCTCGAGATATTTAAAGATAAGCAACAAAAAAGCCAAGAAGCAGGCACAATACCGAGTTTCTACAAGAAGGCATGTTCCTTACATGGATATTTTTACTCTTTAAGATGATTGTATTTGTACTGTTGCTATTTCGCAGCACTATCCGGTTACAATCTTGCATTGTTTCACCCTTTGAAAAGTTTATATTTCCTTTAGAATTTGTATCAGATGATAAGATTTTGTTGCTTATCCCGTTGTTCAGAAACCAGAAGAAGGATCGATTAGTCAAAGGGTTCAGAAGCTTGCTAAGTACCGCTTCTTGAAGGTATAGAGATTCTTCATCTTTTGTTCTTATTTCTCAGAAGAAGTTTAATGGTTTTGCTGATTTTGATATGTTGGTTAATTCCACAGAAACAATCGGATCTTTTGTTAAATTCTGATGATTTGGCTGCTATGTGGAATTGTTTGAGAGAGAACTGTGTGATTGATGATGCCACTGGTGCAGAAAAGGTACATGCATCTTTCGTATAATTTTGTTCTAGAGCTTAAATTAAGTTTATCTATGTTGGATGCTGATATTTGCTGAGTCTTCTCCATGTAGATGAACTATGAAGACTTCTGTCACATTGCCTCTGTATGTACTGAACAGATCGGCCCCAAATGTCGGCGGTTTTTCAGCCCATCCAATTTCATGAAATTTGAGAAGGATGAGGCTGGGAGGATTGCTATTTTACCATTCTATCTTTATGTGATGCGCACGGTGAATATCTTCGTGTCTTTTTATCATTTGATGTCTTTGGGTCACAATATTGTATTGTGGCTATATATCATCCTGTTGCATAAGCTAATTATAGGGCCTTTTTCAAGTCTTTTTAGTTTTACTTGTCCTTTACTATAACCAACTATAGTTTATACTTGTTTTGATCATCATTTGTTCAACACTGTTCAGGTGTCACTTACACAAGCTAGGATTGATATGAGTGAGCTTGACGAAGACTCTGATGGCTTCCTTCAAAATAATGTAAGTACCCAAAGTGGCTCTAAACCTTTAAGTTTAGAATTTGCCCACAAAGCTTTAAGGATTCTTCCTACCCGCAAGGGGTTCTGACTCTAATCTGAGGTTCTTACAACTAGTCTACTTGTTATTATTATAGGAAATGGAGAGCTATATTAGTGGTCTAATCCCTAACCTGGCACAACTTAGGGATATGCCAGAGGCCTTTTATCAAATGTATTGCCGCATAGCTTCACAAAAGTTCTTCTTCTTCTGTGATCCCCATAGGCGAGGTAGGTGCCAGTGATATATTATTATAAGGCAAAGAGAAATTTTCTTGACCTAGTGTTTAGTTGTGATGTGTCAATGCGATCTTCCTTTGGTTACAGGAAGAGCCTGTATCAAAAAAATACTGCTCAGTAACTGTCTGCAGGAACTAATGGAATTGCATCAGGTCAGTTTAGATGAAGGATGAGTGAAATAGAACTGTGAAATACA